AGATAGTTAGATGAAGGAGAGTGGACACAGAAGAATTTCTCTGTGAAACCTTCGTGAATAGTTCAGAATGACATTAGTTTCAAAAGTGCAAATAGCCATGTTGACCAGTAATCTCTGCAGAAGACACTGGTAAGAAAACGGAAATTGATGATTGCAGAGAACAGTTTGGCTAAAATATTTTCTATACTACTATACTACGTTTCAACTAATTGTTGCCAACAAAAACAATGAGCGTACACACAAATATAAACATCTTGGAATTTTAATAAACGATAATAATGACTGCATAATGAAAATAAGAACAAGAACTGAAATTGCATGTAACTCATTTGTGAAAATGAAATAACTCTTGTCATACACTATCGTCACTTTCGACAAAAGCTATCATCAAAAAGTTTTCGAGTTGTTGCCTTACAGAATATTGAAAATATCTTGTTAAAAAGAAACATAAAGAAAGCCCTACCCTAGATAAAGCAGTAGCCGCATTTAGAAAGACAAAACGACAACGAAGTTGACAAAAAACAATAAGCCCAGTCCAAAAAGTTTGGGTTGTAAGCAAAAAAGTGTAAAAACCACTTTGAACATATACCAAACACGAACAAGGGGCGTTAATATGGCAATTATAGCGCTCAAAGCAACTCCACAATCACCACGTCACCCATTTATTCAAGATAATTGCACAATGAAATAAGGATACAAAAATCACCACACGTTGGCCACAGAGAGACAAAAAACAGTAAGTTATAAGATAGGGAGAAATTTTAGTAAAATTAAGTTAAAGGAAGGCAAATTATCATCTCAAAGACTGGTTCACCCAACTTTTCAGAGCAGCACTATACAGAATACATTACACCAGTTATATATAGATTTTAACCAAGCATATAATAGCATCATAAGAGTGAAGATGTAGAATGCCATGGCAGGACTGTATATGCAGAAGAAGTTATTAATCTCACAAAAACTTGTTGGCAAAAGAAGTTGGCCTACGATTTAAACAGAGACAAAACAAAAACCCCGAGTTTTAGTATTAGAGAGAAGAATAAGTAAACAAAATACAAATAATCATGATGGCCACTAACCTTCAAAAGAATATGTCACTTTAAAAAAATGTTCCAAATTATTCAATGCTAAAATTATGATTCTTTAATTATCTAAAGCCTCTATCTAAGCAGCAAAGAAGAACTCGGGAAGAACAACAAACTTATAAAGAACTCAGGAGAGAAGAGAAGTACTTGCATGTATTGGAAGAACTTAAGACATTAAAAATGCAAAACGATACCAAAAAATTTAATAGATCACTGAATAATACAAGAAATGAATTTAAACCATGGCTGAGAATATGTAAAAATAAGGAGGCACATATACTCAATACAAGAGAGGACCTATTAGATAGGTGGGTAAAACACTATCAAGAGCTACTTCCAACAGAAGTAGAAGATCAAAATCTACCACCCGCAGGCGCAAGAAACAGTACACCATTATAACCTTCATCAATTCAAGAAGTACCGAATACAATAAACGTCTAAAAACTAACCAATCTCCAGAAAGTGACAGTATATCTACAGAACTTAATAAATCTGAGGTCAATACTCTTGCCAATCAGATACACACAATAATAGAAAGAACTTGGAATGGGGAACAAAGCCCAGAAGAGAGTGTACTAGAATTATTTGTCTGTTACACAAAAGGGCGATTAGAATGCAGAAACTATAGGAGTCCTTAACACAGTACAAAAGATATTTTCGAGCATATTATATAGTCGTCTGAGTACCTGTTCAGAGAAGCTTCTTGGTGAATATCAAAGTGGTTTTATGTCTAGCCGATCAATAACGACCAGATTTCTGTGCTTAGGCAGATACTGGAAAAACTGGATTTTAAATCAGCATATGATAGGGTACTATGAAGTAAATTGTATGAAGCCATGGACTAATTCTACATTCCCGATAATATGATAAGAATAGTAAGGGCTACATCACAAATTATGGCCTAGGCAGATTATTTAGACCTACTAGCTTGTACAACAGGCAAGCTAGAAGAAATGTACACCATTTTCTCAAATACCTCAAAAAATATAGGCCTACAAAGAAATAAAAAAACCAAAATTATGGCATCAACATCCAACAACAGCCAGAAACATCGGTCCCCAATTCACTGTTAATATTTCTACCTTTGAAGTGGTGGACAAATTCACATACTTAGGCACCCTGATTACCAATCACAACTCCACAATGGAAAAAATCAAACAGAGAATAATTCTGGCAAATAAGTACTATTTTGGTATGCTTAAACACATGAAAAGTAGAAACTTAAGCCAGAAAACAAAAATAATAATATACAGAACCCTTATACTACCAGTTCTGACATAAGGTTCGGAAACATGGAGCATCTTTAAGACAGATGAGAGCCTCTTGCTCATATTTGAACGAAGAATCCTGAGAGGATTATTTGGTGGCATCTCTGAAAACAGTATTTGGAGGAGGAGGTACAGCTATGAGATATACCACAAATACAAACATATATCTGGAGGTAAAGACGAGATATCTCTCATAAAAATAGGTAGGTAGAAGGTTGGGAAGTAGATGAAGAGATACAGCAAAACTTGAAGGAATAGACGAAGATGCTAGAAAAATAGGTGCAGCACTGGCAATGGATAGTGCCGAGTGGCGAAATAGACTTTGGGAAGGTCGAGTCTGTACTATAGGGATGTAGCACCATTTATGATGTATTACCTAAATCCACTGTTATGACAGTAATAAAGTTATCATTCCGATCAATAGCACACAATATAGAAAATAAGAAGGAGCCTTTAAACCCACCAATATTGAACACACTTCCTTTTCAGCCTTTGAAAAAGACAGTACCTTAAGAAAAAGAATGTCAGCCAAATTAACTACCGTTAACATTATCATTATTTACGTATCCACTTTTATAACAAAGCAATAAAGAGGTCATCCTAGCAAAAGCTAAATTAAAACTGTTTTTGAGTAGTAATAAATATGTAATAGACGAGCTAGTTCAAAGTTTTGATTTAAATTCAAAGATTTCAACACACATTACAAAATACTATTTTTGAAGTACACTATCCCAGAATAGCGAAGAGCAGCGAGTGCGCAGAAGATAGAAAAAGAAGTACAAGACGAAGATGCAGGTCTTTAGCAAATTCAGAACACTGTTTTCAGTTTTCAGTCAAGTTTTCCCCGACAATTTGTTATCACTATTTTATGTCCAATGTAAATACAATTTCTGTTTACTTATTATTGTTGTCTATGGGCTTTTAAATTTCAATTAACAAAGTAATGCAAAAATAGTTGATTTGAAAAAATAATAAGGCTATATCCAAATCAGGAATAAAATTAAACGGCTCAAAATAATTGGTATTTTTATTTTGCATAAGTATTCAAATATTTGAAACGTTGTCCAAATAGTTACACTGGATTATACTACATTTATTTCTGTTAATTCTGTGTTTTGCTGTAACTGTAAGCTGTAACCAGCAGTAGTAAATCATTCTTTGCAAATTAGTCACTTCCGCCTTAAAGGTGTTAGTATTTGTTCTTCTTCTTCTTCAGCCTTAATTTATCCATTGCTTCCACGCTTCCCTATTTTTTGCAATTCTCATCCACTGCTTTCCAGTTACAGCTGTTATATCGTCTATCTATCTCTTTTTGGGTCTTCCCCGCTACTTTTTTTTCTCGAGGTGTCCAGAATGTCACTTTATGAGACCATCTGTTGGTGTCGTCTTGCTACATGTGCTATCCATTGGCATTTCCCATGATGTTGGTTACTTTAGTTCTTCGAATATTTCGGTGTTTCGAGGAATTTTGTCTCTAAGGCTTATATTTAACATGGCCCTCTCCTAGGCCCGTTCAGTTACTCTTTAATTGTTCTGCCATTTTTTTGCTATTTCTTGCCATTTCTTGTTATTGCCATAGTTTCAAAATCATAAGTTGCAACTGGTAGTATACAGGTGTCATAGGTTTTTCGTTTTAAGTGTAGTGGGATTTTTCTGTCTTTTAAAATGAAGCTCAAGTTACCAAAAGCAGCCCATGACAATTCTGTCCTTTTAATTTCTAGGGTTTTCGTTTTTAATTGCATGTCTTAGATGTCTCTACCTTTTCTATATTGATGTTATCTATCGTGATGTTTTCTATTGTTGCTTAATATCTTTGTTTTGTCGAAATTTATTTTTAATCCTATTTGATTCAATTTGTGATTTAAATCTTGTAGCATTGATTTTAGTTCATGGATATCTTTATTCATTATCTTTATCATATCATATCTTTATTCTTTATTAGTTCATTAAACGCAAATGTTTAAGATATACTCCATCTATTTTTAATCCCTTTTCGGCTCAATTTAGTTTTTTGAAGACATTTTCTAATGCCAAAGTAAATAACTTGGGTGAGATGGTGTCGCCCTGTCTCACACCTTTGCCAAGGTCTATTTTTATCGTTAGTACTTATCTGAATTAATTAATGACACTACACAATACACTAAAAACTTTAATAAAATAGGACCGCCTGTAGACATTTTCCCAGGAGTTTTCGAAAGTAACCATTTATTATTTTATTAGATCGTGCCAAAGGATATTACAAATGTTTGGTAAGAAAATGCAGGAACAAATATTAGATGATTCTTTTTTGTAAATTTTAATATGGACAATTATATGAACGTAACTGCTCTGTGAATTCAAAGAGAATGAAATTTTCCACACTTTTTCTAATTTTGCACTGCGTACACAGAACTAGCGTCTCTTTACTAATTTAGGTTAGTGTAGTGGTAATTGCAAATACAGATAAAAACATCAATCATATCTTGAAAATAACAAAAAGAAACTAGACCATTTTCTTAACATTTGAAATTGGGGAAAAAATGGAAAGAACAACTAATAATTAATTTAGAAAAATAAAGACATACTAAAACCACAATCTAAGAAACTTCATTAACATTTATTAAGGATAGTAAACATTACATGTAATGTTTAAACAAAAACTACTTACTTTTGCCTTTCCGCTTTGTAACTGACTGTAAGTTCATCGAAAAGTTTAGAGTTCATTTCCATAAATGTTTTAAGAACATTGTATACAAGTGCGACTATAGTCTGGTTCCAGTGTTCTTTGGATATACGATACAATGCTGGGAACATAATTGGCATTATAACACGGTTATTTTCTTCCATCAGAGACATAATATACTCGTTGTTCCAGAAGTATAAAGCTCTCTCTGCCACCTGGAATAATATACATTAATTATTTAGTTTCAATGTGGTGTATAATATTCTTAAAATGTCTCCAAAGTAAATGTTTAAAAATTATTATAATGTTGCGTAGACATTTAGTCGAAGAAAAGTTTTTAGATGGTTTGTATTTAACATGTATAATAAATAGACAAAATATTATTTAAAAGAACGAACGGGAATCCAATGAATTGTGGAGAAATGAGCAGTGATAGTTAAACTAGACATGACATAATTTTGCTTGTCTTTGGCTTGGTCTTCATATTTTCTCAATAGTTTGCACTAAGTTCCTTTTACCATTTTTGCAATGTTAAACAGTGCAGCTTTTTAGATAATGCAAAATTATGCTGGTCCGATAAAACAAGAACTAGCCCATTCCTAGGTCTACAATTTGTGAATCCGTAATAGTTCCTTGAGCAACTAACGAAACACACCAAATACAAATTTGTTATAACAGGTAATTCAGTGAAACGGTACGATTTAGTAACGCTGCTGAGGAAAAAGTAGAGGAGCCGCAGGCTTGCGACGTAAACGTTTTGAAGCTGGAGAGTGGGAAGTTTAGTTTTAGTTATCATGGAGAAGTGGTCGAACAACGCACATTTGCTGTGAACGCTTATTACAACAATTGTGAAAGTTTTGTGCGTGAACAACGAGCATTTCGTATGCACTACCACTTGCCGCGCCGAGCTCCAGTTCCGTCTAGTAAGGCTATTCAGACCTGGGTTAGAAACTTTTGAAAATAGTGGTTGAACATCATAGAAAAGAGGTGGCAGTGTCACAACTGTTCTTCAAAAACTGAATGTTTCTTCACTTAAAACATTAATTTTCATATGTGCAGTATACATCGGAATATATTGATATTGATATATTAAACATCGGAAGTTACAAAAACAATCAATACGGCAAAGCCACGAAAGGCCTCAGGTCCAGATGATACATATGTAGAGATGATAAAACTTATCAATGAAGAAAATCTTCAGTCCTTAACACTACTATTTAACATAATATATACAACTGAAATCTTCCCAGAAGACTGGCTTAGATCGACATTTATACCTATAACCAAGAAAAATAAAGCAAATAGATGTCCACAGTTCAGATTAATTAGCCTAATGAGCCATTTTCTGAAAATTTTTCGCGACAAAAGCAACAATCAATTTGGATTTCGTATAGGGCTTAGTATAAAGGAGGCATTATTTGGTCTCCAGATATTACTAGAAAAATGTCGAGATCAACGAAAATACGTGTTTCTCTGTTTAATCGATTACGAAAAAGCGTGTGATCGAGTAAAATGCACAGAACTCATAGAAATCCTAACACAACATGGAATAGACCATAACACGGTGGCCCTTATTAAAAACCCATATTGGGATCAAATGGCGTCGATTTAAATAGACAATCGTATGACAGCAGAATTGTCAATAAAAAGGAGTTCGCCAGGGCTGTGTATTCTCTCTACTATTGTTTAATATATATTCTGAAAGGTCTTCCAAAATGCCATCGAAAATATTGAAGAAGGAATAAAAATCAACAGAGAATATGTAAACAACTTAAAATACGCAGTCGACACTGTCATTATTGCGGACAGTGCTGAGGGTTTGCAATGACTTTTGAATCCCATAACCAGAGAGGGAGATAGCTTGGGGCTGAATATAAGCACAAATAAAACAAAAGTAATGGCCGTTACACGTGCACCAAATGCCAACATTAATATTCGTATCTACAACAAATAGATAGAACCCTTACAAAAATTCCAGTATCTTGCTTGACGGATAACAAACGATCTTGACTACGAAGTTGAAATATGTGCTCTTATAGAGTATGCTAGGTCCGCTTTTCAAAGAATGAATACATTCTTAATAAACTTTACCTTATCGATATCCGATATCAATTTGTAAAAACATTCATTTATTCCATACTGCTATACGGAGTGGAAACATGGACTCTCGGAATCACAAGTATGAGACGTGTAGAAGCCTTTGAAATGTGGGTTTTTCGAGGGATGCTGAAGATCTCTTGGACAGAGCACGTGACCAACAACGAGGTGCTCAGAAGAATGCGGACTGGGAGAGAACTTCTAAATATTATAAAAACTAGAAAAACGAGTTATCTAGGACATATTTACGGAGAAAAATAAAACTTCCTATGACTGATAATGGAAGGGAAAGTGGAAGGAAGAAGAGGTCCAGAAAGAAGAAAATGCTCCTGACAGACATTGACACACATTCGATACTAAGAACAGCTCAAGATGAAGAACAATTTGCTGTAGTTATAGCAAACCTTCAATAATGGAGAGGGCAGCTTAAGAAGAAGTGCAATATATGTTTTTTTTTATTAACTTTAATAAAAAGCTATTTTTTCAGTTTTGTTTGTTTGTTTGCTTGAAATCGTACCGTTTCATTGAATCACCTCGTATGTGCCAGGGCATAAAGGAATTACTGTAATAAGATTACTGATGTTCTTCCTAAGGCATTTATGCCCTGACACCTACAAATTTGCATTTGTTGTGCTTCGTTAGTTGCTTAAGGGAGAATCTTTGGTACAGCTTGGCTATCAAGCCAATATATATTTTAGCCAAACTGAAGCTTTTTTTACTGAATCTTGAGCACAAAATTTATTGCTAGTAATTCCGCTTGTAATATTGGAAAGTATTTCCGATGACTATTGATTAAATAGTGTGTTTATTTGGGATTAAGTCACAATTGATTGTAATGATAATTACATTAATTTGAATTAAAATTATTATTTAAGAATTGTGTTAAAAAGAGTATATAACTTAGAGTAATCAGTATTTAAAGTGAAATGACATAACCTTGTCAACACCTTTGGCCATAGACATATAATACAAGATATACTGACTGCTGCAATACAGTTCCCCCAGTGCGACAGAGAAAACTGACACAAAGTACTCCCTGCATATCTGTTTAATGGGCCGGGTTTACCGACCACCTGACTTTCTTATTGGTCATGTCTATGCCTTTGGCAGCTATACACTCTTTTTAACAGAATTCTTTCGAAATGTCAATTTTTTAGTAAAAACATATAAACTCAATATTTAACTTAGACATGCCACAAGAAAACAGTCTCAGGACTATTGATTAACCTCGATTTCTACTTCCTCGTGTGTTTTTGACGCTTGAGGGACTATGTGCGCTTCAAGGACTGAATTGTTCCAACCATTAAAATCTTTAGATGTCTAATCAGGTCGCCGTGGTTTACATACTTAGCCCATATTCGGGTAAAAGCACTTATTTAGCATTATTTAGGGAAGGTTGCAGTTAAGCATAATCTCATTGTATCTATGCTTTAGATGCAAGTTTATTATTGCTGCAACACTATTATTGTTTTTTTTTGTAGCAGTGATTTGTTTCACTAAACTAGAGCGTCATCAGTAGTGGTAGGGTTTCACAACTGTTATGTATGACCACAATGTGTTACTAAAGAGCTGGATTAGACCAAAATGTTTATAGCAAATAATCCCAAGCAAAAAATGAAAAGCATTGTCTCAACAATATAATAGTGCATGTTCATAATGTTAGATAGTTATTTCATTTTTTTTTAAATCAAATATTGTTCAATTCCAGAATAAAAAATATGATATTTAAGACCTTTGAGTTATTTCTAGAATGGCATGTGTAATATATTTAATTAAATAAATTAATATTAAAATATAATCTTACCTGGAAATGTGGACTGGAAACACATTTAGATATTTGCCTAAACAGTGGTTCCTGAATGCGCAAAAACTGGGATGGTTCAATAACGTCTAGAACTTCTTCAATTTCTCCCAAAAACATCACTTCTTTTTGACTACAAGTCTTTGGCCAATATTTGAGAAGGCCTCTAACGACAGGTTCCGTCAAGCTCGGGTCTTTTTCTAAGAATTGTACAACACAATAGGCTAGCTGCGCGTGATAGAGTGACAGGCACTTAACCTTATGTAAAGGTATTAGTACCTTTACCAGGAACTGCTTGTGTTCAACTTTTAGCGGTAACGCAAACCCATTTATTATGGAACCTAAGATTTCTAAAAGTTCACCAACTCCGTTAAAATGTTCAGTCTCATACACAAACCTAAAAGAAAACATACTTAAATAAAAAAGAACAGACCTCTCTTTATACTTGAACTCATATTTTACATTAATAAACCTCATATATTCTTTAATCATTTACAAAACAATGCTACCCCATGTTACAGTGAATCTTGGAATGCTTCATTCTATTAGACTACAAGCACAGTTGGTATGGATTTATCAGCTCTTTTTCCTTGCTTCTCTTCTGGTGTGACATATAAATTATTCATATTACCAAATAATTGCTATGTAGAATCGTAAGTTATAATTATTTCGTTATGAGCTAACACTCACATTGATTAAGTCATTGTTTACAAACAAAAACCATTGTTCAGTGTTAGTAATAACTCTTCCATGAGGTATTTATAAGATGAAGCTCTGAACATGGCATGTGGCATGCCGAAAGTAATTAGCTGATTTTAATAAAAAAATATCCACCATCCAGTTTTTTTAGAACATATACCTGTTGCCAATTTGACCTATATTTTAGAAGTGTGTACAAGTCATACAGTTTTTTTTTCAATTTATTTATTTAAAGACTGGTTTAAGCATATAATATACTCGAATGTTTGATCAAAGATTTAAAAGTCTGGTTATTATAAATTAATGATAAAATAAACACTTATTGGAGAATATCGAGCAAAGGAAAGTTGTAGTTGTTCACAGCTATTAGCTTAGTAATGGAAACAATACGAAATTTGTCTAATTTATGTTACCTTCTAATGCATTATATGTTGCATTTAACAAATAAATTTGTGGTTCTGTTAGATAATAAAAACAGAAAAGAAAACATTAATAGACTTATCATATTTGTAAAATTAACTTCCCATCACACATTATCCAACCTCAAGTTGGTTTCAGTATCACTATCGTCACCCAAGTTCACATTTATTTCTCTGGTTAACAGAGCTATATTTATAAAAAAGTTTTCTATTTTTAATTAATTCTTCCTACCGATGCGTTTATTAGCTCATGCAGTATATATTCAATCAAATGCATTTAATAGACAACAGAAAGAGGAAGTCTTAACACACTATGGCCCATTTCTTCTGTTAAATTGTCCCGATAATATTCTTTTTTCATAGAAAATGATTGGTTTGTTTCAAGTAATTATTTTTTAGTATAATTATAATCTAAGTACATATCATTTATCATGTTTACAGTGTAAACAATTTTTCGGCGAACAGATTCCACTTCTTCTTATGGTGCCCTATCAAATTAGTGGATGTTGGCGACAATTCTGGTATACCTCGATCTTGTGTGTCTCTAAAAAGTGCATGGGCATCAAGGTTTGTCCAATCCCTTATGTTTTTAAGCCATGAGTATTTCTTTCTTCCGATGATGCCCCGTTTTCCTTTTATCTTCCCTTCCATAATAAGCCTTAAGAATTGGTACTTGGAATTTCGACATATACGACCCAGATAAGCAGTTTTTCCTCTTTTTATTATTGGCAGCAATTCTCGTTCTCTGCCCATTCGATTTAATACTTCGACATTTGTTGTGTGATCTGTCCAGGGAATTTTAAGTAGTCTTCTATATACCCACATTTCAAACCCCTCCAATCGGTTCATCACATTGGCCTTTATTGTTCCGGGATTCTACAGAGCAGTTTCTGCAGATTCCACAATCATTTGTTTATTAATTTTTTCTATGTTAAAACCTTGTAGAAGGTATTTTCTTCGTATCTCACAACTATCTTTGGCTATTTTTTGTCTATTGATAAAACACTGGTCTTTAATCGTACGATTCTTGCGACGAAAACATTTTTATGAAACACTTAATTGGCAATAAAATCATTACCTTTTTAAACAAATACAAACTGCTAACTAAACTACAAATTACTTTGGGTGAAATGATAATTTTGTGCATGTCTGCAATTTCTTTTCGAACTACGAGGAAACATGTACGTTTCAAACGCACTGTTTAGAAGTCATAAAGGTGAGTATGTGTGGTTAATTGTTAGTTAACTATTAGCAAATTGGCAAGTTCAAAGTAGAAATAAATCGTTATGAGAAGTTAATATTCAATTTATTATATTTAATATAATAATAAATCTCACATTGTTTTTATACATTATGTTAAAATAGTCTGAACAAGTAAAAAAAAATACAACTCTGCCTTAGAACTTCCCAAATAACCTCTTCTCTTTTCAGTAATGAATAATAATGAGTCTCTTAGATCATTGGTCAAATGTTACCCGTAGATTCGCGGATAGTCAATAATGTATCTACCTCTCCAGATTCGTAAAAAAACTAACAATCATACAATGGATCTGAAAGCCGTGAAACTTTGCCTTCATGAATGGGCCCTCAATACTAGACGGAGATCAGGTTTCATTGGCCTTTTTTTAGATTACGAAGCTCTACCGGTAGTGACCATCCGTTACCTAGTTTCTCGCTGAACAAGAATGAACCAGGAACAAACAAAAAAAAAAGACGATGAAGATCAGTTAGGCAGAAAGGGGTTAAAGCAAGGTCTTGACCCAAAAGGGCTGGACAGTAATATAGGTGTAGGGTTTATACAAAAGACCTATCAGGCTGCAGTCTAGAAGATCTACGCGGCCAAACGATTCCTTTATCTACAATCATTGGTTGAAAAGTGATCTTTGGCTACAGCGAGGTTCGTTAAAGATGAAATTACTAAACCAAGGAGTAAATGGTTAGTATGCGTCTCAGTGGTAATTCACCCGACCGAAGAGTGGATGCTTCAAAAATTCCGAGAAACGTTCACCCCTGCGCATATAATGAACCATCATGCGGAGGAATCTTCTAGCAAGTTCTATTCTCACATACTCCTCGTGGTACTCCCTGAGTGAAGCTAAAGAGAAAGGACACAAGGGGAGACTGCTGCGCCATAACTGGAGCCTCTCGACTAAGGTATAGTAACCCTAACAGATGTGTCCCTGGTCTTTCAAGTTGGGGGTTGGAGAAATGAAAAATCAATTAAAAGAAAACAGCAAAAATTCAGAACATAGAAAAACAATAAACAAAACATTAGAAAATCGACAAAAGCTTGAAGATAACAAAGAAAAATAACCACATATAGGCGAATGCAGCAACGACACAGAACAAGACAAGCAGAAAAAGAATATAAGAGATTGAGAAAGGAAGAGAAGAAAATACACTGAAGGAAATAAAGAAAAAACACACAATGGAAACTTCGTAAACTACAAGAATTGAACAAAACAACAAAAACTACAAAATTCTTCCAAAATTTAACAAGAATAGAAAGACGTATTTCTTTTGGGAAAAATTCGAAAAGAATAGCGATGAATTCAATGAAAAAATTGAACTGTTTAATCGAGACAAAAGAGAAACAAACCCACCTTCATTAGCCGAAGTGAAAGCAGCTGTCAAAAAATTAAAACTTCCACTGAAATGGAACATCGGAATAATCATACCATTACACAAAAAGGGAGACTAACTACAATGTAGAAATTATCGAGCAATTCAACAGCAGAAATCAACAATAGACTAAATCTTTACACTTAGGCAAATCCTAAAAAAAAACTAGTGAATTTGATATAGACCCGCACTACTTCTTCATTGACTTTGGGAGTATCTATAATAATAACAATCGAAAATTCCTGATCCAGACACTAAAAGAGTTTAGAATACCAACGCAACTGATTACGAATATCAAAGAAACACTTAGATAAGAACCAGAACCAAAACTAATTAACAGATACAATGTTTACTAAGAAAGGAATAAGTTAAGATGACGCCTTATCCTGCATCTTCTTTAACATCGCCCTAGAAAAAATCATAAGGGAATCAACAGTCAACATCAGGGGAACAATAATAACGAAAAGTGTACAAATAATAGCATTTGGTGATGACGTTGATATCATAGATAGAAGCAGAAGGGATATGATATAAGCATTCAATTTACAAAGCGACCTACAATAGAAAAAGCTGCTTAAAAATCAATGAAACCAAAACAAAATATATGAAAGTTAGTAGGCCAAAAGGGCTGAGGCAACTCAAGAGTATAACTGTAGGCAACTGCCACTTTGAGAATGTAAAATTTTTTTACATATTTAGGCCCGCTAGTCACTTTATAGAAATATATTAGTGAAGAGATCAAAAGAATAATATATATATTGTAAATAAAACATATAACAGACTTCTTCTTGTAGTTCCTTCTCCTATCAGAGGTTGGCTATCATCACAGCTATCTGTACCTTATTGGCGGCTGCTCTAAAAAGATCTACTGAACTGCAACTATACCACTCTCTTAGGTTTCTCAGCCAGGAAATTCTTCGTCTTCCTATGGATCTTTACCCTGATTTTACCTTGCATTACGAGCTTTAATATCTCATATTTCGCACCTCTGGTAATGTGGCCTAAATATTCCAGCTTTCTTGTTTTGATGTGCTTTATGACATTGCAATCCTTTTGTAGCCTTCTTAACACTTCTGCATTTGTAACTCGTTGGATCCATGGTATTTTGAAAATCCTTCTATAGCACCACATCTCAAATGATTCCAACTTCTTTATATTATCCACTTTTAGTGTCCCGCTTTCCATTCCATACAACAAAGTCTAGAACACGTAGCATCTTAAGGCTCTTATCCTCAGATACAGAGGAAGGTCTCGATTGACAAACATTGTTTTCATTTTTATAAATGTTTGTGTTGCAATTTCAATGCTTGTCCTTATTTCTCTACGTTGATCATTGTTTTTTCATTTACCCAGGTTCCCAGATATTTGTAGTTATTCACTCTTTCTACTTGTTTTCCCTCGATATCTAGCCTTCCTACTGTATGTTGCTTAGAAATAATCATGTACTTTGTTTTCTTAACGTTCATTTGTAGTCCATATTTGATACTGACTTGATATAATCTATCTACTAAGCGTTTCAATGCTTCTAGACTGTCTGCAAAAACAGCGGTGTCGTCTGCGAATCTTATACTGTTTAAGATTTTTCCGTTTCCGTCCGATAATGGACTTGTCAAACACTTAATACATATCTGATAACATAACAAGAAGAACAAAATGAAAAATTTATAAGACACTGATCAGACTAGTCCTAACATATGGAACAGAAACATGGACACTGTCAAAAACCGGTGAGAAGCTTCTAGCGACGTTCGAACGAAAAATTTTAGGATATATATATATATATATATATATATATATATATATATATATATATATATATATATATATACAAGGTAGTACGAGAACACAACGTATGGCGAAGACGATACAACTTTGAATTGTACAATGCATATAAAGAAACATACGTTTATAAAAATTGAAAGACTGCGCTGGAGGACGTAGAATGGATGCAGAAAGATTAACTCCCAAGAAAATTATAAGGTAGGTACCGACGGGAAGAAGACCAAAAGGAGACTCAAGCTTAGATATAGAGAGCTGGTAGAACAAGACCTAAAAACCTTAAAAATCACTAACGGGAAGCGTAAAGTCCATAATAGATCGGAATGGTCGACGATCTTAAAACAGGCCAAGACGTACAAAGGGTCGTCGTGCTACTGATGATGATGAAAGGTTGAATTACTAACTAACTAATGCGTTGCTGTAATCAACTTTTCATATTTTTTATTTATAATGGCATACAACAGGAAAATTGGGAAAAGTGTGTGAGATTCATTTCCAATAATAAGCAGAGTACATTTTACAGAGTAGCGCGCTGATTATTTTTAATTTAAAATGTGATATTATGAATTGCTTAGAATTTGTATCTTAAACTCAATTTATTTGTATTAATCTCTCATACATAAAGATTGAAACAGTTTTAAAACGTCAGAATAAACGTATTTTTAACTAAAATTGTAGTTAATTCTCATTAAAGATAGTAAATAATGCAGATTGAATACAAATTAACACGAAAAATAATTTTATAGCAAAAGCAGTACCAACTGTTTAATTGAGTGTAGTTTTTTTGTTTAATTGTGCACATATTGAGACGTAAATCAAGAAGATGGAAAATAATAAAAATATTATTATACGTAAACATAGTTTTGTTGTTATGGCTTATGAAATTATTAAAAAATGAAAGTAATTACCTCAAAAATATATTATTAATTTGTTTTCGAATGAAGGCTCGAAGGCCTAAAAATTTTCCATATATACGATGCAATACTGTCTTAAGAAAATCTCGCTCCCTTGGATCTTCTGAATCAAACAATTCTAGCAGCTGCAGAACAAATTTCTGGTCAATCACACGTTTTCCTATTGTCGGTTGAAAGTCTGAACTCTCTAAGAATCTTAGAAAAAATTCATAAACCAATTGGAGATGAGGCCAGCTCGCTTCCAATGTAGGATCATCTTCTTCTGGATCAAAGTCAGGATTTTCACTTGGAGGTAATGTCCGAAATAGGTTTGCAGATATCTAAAAATATATTAAGATTTAGTACTTTGGCATACATTTTATGTAATAATCAATGTCTATGGGTAATATCTAATAATTATATAAATGGACGACTGTATTTCTCAACTATTAAAAGATTACTCCGTCTACAGAGTAATACACTACATAAAGTTTCACCCATACAGAATAAAAATTAGTTAAAGATTTGTCAGATGACGATTTTGATAGAACAGTAGAATTTGCTGATAGAATGAAATAAATTAATTTTACATATCGATACATTTTTGGCAAACTAACCTAAGTGACAATTTTGGCGAAAATCATGTTTTTCAATTAAACTAACACTATTATTGTTAAAAAGGTACTGACAAAGTGTAGTAAGCCTAGAATTACTTTAAACCTTTTTTAGGACAAGTAGGACAAGTTTTTTCAATCATAATTTAAATAAGTTTAACCAGGTTGAATTAAAAAATTGTTTTTTTTTTTAAATCGTGTTTGGTGACTTACGTTACTTTGCCAAAAATGTATCGATATTGTAGGGACATATATGTCCCACCGAATTTCAAAAAATCTGCTGGTATCTATTTGTCCCAAAAGTCCAAGTTATTTGAACGCATCCGTATTTTTAGATATTCCTATTATTACTAAATTGATGGGCAGACATATGGACAGGATATCTGGCAAGATCACAGCAGAACAACCCTCCTAGAAGAATCCTTATGTTACAACCTGTGGGAAGTAGAAGTAGGGGTAGGCCAAAACTCAGATGGAGGGATGGTGTAGATGAGGATGGTAGAAAAATAGGCGCAGCAAACTGGCAACAGTTGGCAATGGATAGAACTGACTGGCGTAATAAACTTGTGAAGGTCGAATCTCTTTTATAGGGCTGTAGCACCAATGATGGATGATGATGATTATTACTAAATTACTTATTAATATGCAACCAAACATATCGCATCTACAATCTAGAATTGTCATTAACAAAAACAAGTGCTCAGTACCTCGTTAAAATATATAATTTTAGTAAATAAAAAATAATTAATAAAAAAGTAAATAATTTTAGTAAAAAAAATGAGGGCCGTAGAGGTGTAGGAAGAAAACAAGTTTCTTGGTTAAAAAACATTCGTGAATGCACTCAGATACCAAATGCAGGACAATTATTCCATATTGCAGAAGATCGAGAAGCCTTCGCAATGGTGATCGCCAACGTCGGATAGTTCTGATATGGCACGCGAAGAAGAAGAAATAAAAAGTGTCAAGCTGTAAAAGTAGTCCAGAGATGGGAGCCCCAAGAAAATAGAACAAGAGGAAGTAAAAGATGGATAGACGACGTAGAGAGGGATATTAAAACCATGAACATCGGGCAGTGGCGAAGGAAAGTGTCCGACAGGGCGGAATGGAAGAACGTTGTTAAGCAGGCCAAGACTCACAAAGTACTGTAGCGCCATTAGAAGAAGAAGAAAAGAAAAAGAAAAGAAGAAGAAAAGAAGAAGAAATATAAAAAGTGTTTTTGTTTTTAATATATTTTATATAATTTAGTTGCAGATCAACAAGGGAAAGTGATATAGTATTGTTTATTTTTAATATAGTTTTCATAGATTTTACCATAATTTCTAAGCGGGACTCTATTGTCCCAGTAGTAGTTTACACCGGTTCGTATTTATACCATTCGTATCAATTGGTTGCAGACTTACTTTGGAAAGAAGACATTTTCCTAAGTCAAAAAGAACTTCAAAAAGAGATTGAGAAGCTCTCAGATATTTCTGAAAATGAAGCCGAGTAAGAACCTCATGCTTCCTCAAGAGGCTGATTATGAACCTAGTGACGATTCTACCTCAGATTCTGATGAAATTAACATAAACCAGATCACACAAGGAAATTCTAAATATGAGTCCGGAAGAGATGAATTGACTACATTTTTGTCCGAAATTGTCCGAAAGAAATTCCTACTACCCAGAGAGAAAAGGACAACAATGCTAAATATCCATAGAAGTTCTCATCTTGTTTGATTGGCTAAGGCCAAATTGTTTGGACAGCGATTCTTATACGTAGACTTGTCGTCGGGTAAAGGTCGATTCAGACACATCAGTCACGTATCGTCACAGTGAATGCGCCGAACCGAACAATCCGTCATACAAAATATTCTTTAATACAAATATGTTGCCGGCATTCACACTCATCAGTTGACAAACAGTTTCCCAGCTGTCAGATAGTTGATAGTTCTGTGACCAAACAGGACCGATTCGGCGCCGAGACTATGACGGGACTGATGTGTCTGAATTGACCTTTACTGATAGTATTCAAAAATTAGGGCGATGAAAAATATATTTATTTAGAAGGTACAATTTTTTTCACAAAGCGCTTTTAAAAATCAATTTACATTTCAAATCGGTTTTTACCAATTGATTACATGTTAAACGTAATAAATGACAATGGTGAAATGCTAATAACAACATTTACATACATAGGCCAAGCAAGTTAGGTTTTTACTCATCACAAGTGTATAGACGGGTTTGACAGTTGAAATAAGTAGTATGAGGTATTACAAAAAGACTCTCATCTAGGGATTCATAAATTTTTTAGTGGAAATATTTTTAAATAAACAATTAAAACGTCAATATCATTATTTTGCTCATAACTTATAAACTTGTCTATTTAGAGATTTGACGTCCACAGACGAGTTGTTGAGAAAGAAAAAATACACAAAACGAGATATACTAAATTAAAATCGGTTAATAAACAAAAAAGTTATTGCATAATAACCAAGCAAAACGGCTGTTTTTGATTATTGTTAATAACTCTTTAAGTAATCAATAAAATTTATTTAAATGTATCTGAACTTAAAGATCTCATCGTGTTCAAAGTGTGTGCGAAAGATAGGCTAGATCCGTCAAATAGTTTTTGCACAATTTAATTTGTTTATAAGATTTTTTGAAAAATGCACAAATTTCTAAAGCCGGTCCAGATAATTTGACTGAATGGATCTTAATAATCCGGGGCTTATTTTCTTCGATGAGACATATACTAATATCCTGTGGAAAAAAAAGTTAAAAAAAATTACGTTTATGTACACAAAATGATTTATTAATAAATAGCACTTTTTAAGTTTATAAACATTTACAATAACTCCGTACTATTTAGTTTAAATTAAATGGCAATAAAATATTCGGAAGGCGGGTTAAAAAACACAACTTTAAAAAAAAAAAGGTCCTGCGACCATTAGGAGCCGAGTTAGTCCTTTTTTTTTTAAAAATCACTGTTACGTCAATTAACAACATTAAGGGCTGAAATTAACCAATCTTTTAGAAGAAAAGTCAAAGTTTTTAACAAAATATTTAGCAAACAAAATAATTGAAAATTGATTAAACAGGAGTGTTGTAAACCAAGAGTACTTTGCGTTCCGACTCAAATGGAAGGAGTGGGGATTGCCGATTGCACTCAAGCCGCGCTCTAAAAAAAGTCGAGCGCCCGTCGAAAGCAGATGCTGTTAGTTTTTACAACTCATTTTCCTGTGACTATACAACCGGTTTGTTGTATTGAAATATTTAGTGTTTTGTTTTATTTAATAATTGTTACAAATAATTAATGGTAAGTAAAATTCATCTGAATATTAAACAAAAACTACGTGTTGTGATATATATTAATATAAACACATGGTTGTATCACGTTGTCTGAATAATATACGGTTAACTTTGAATATAATATTATTTTACTATTATTATAAGTTTACGTGAAAATGAAACTATGATATTATTTATATGGAAAAATTATTAAATATTTCTATTTTTATTTTAAATTTTAAAAATAAATTAATAAAATTACTTGCTGACAGAAAAGATCTGCAAATATTAGCTTCCAAATTTTACCAACCACATACATCTGCAGAAATAATTGGACAAAGTGAAGTGCAAATAATTGCATGTTTATATGGCGCAAAAGAAAACAGTGACTTGGGTGAAATACGATTTTACCACTTCAAGAATGCTGCTTTGAATACAAGCGTTAAGTTGGAAAAGTTGCCACCTACAAAGGGTAGTGCAGAGCAGCATAGTTATAGAGTATACCTTCAAGTACAGGAATGGTTGGGCGTGAAGAAAGACCCTACAAAATGGGGATGGAAAATAATTGATCAGAACTTCACACCTATATATTCATCTGATCCCATGGTTCCTGAAGAATTGGCTAATTCAATCAAATGCAATTGCAAAAAAGGATGCAAAACTAAAACATGTACCTGTCGCAAAAATGGCTTCAAATGTACAGACATGTGCGGTACATGCATAGAAATTCAATGTACTAATATTTATGAAATTATTAATGTAGAAGAAAACGATACAACAGATGAACAAGAGATAATTGATGAAATGTATTTAACTGGGTTTGATGAGAATAGCGACAATGAAAATGAAATGATTTATGAAAGTTATAATACAAGTGAAATTGAAGATGAAAGTGAAGATGAATGTTTACATAGTAGTAGCAGTGACGATATAGAAATAAAGCGTAGAAAATTACAGTAAATTAAATTATTTTAAAAAATCACTACACAAAATTTTAACTTCTGTAATAACATAAAATTAATTTATTATTTCATTAATAAATTTTTAGTAAACATTATTTAAAATGTTCATTTACTTATAACATTTATTTAATATAATCATATTTGAAATAAATAAATAGAAAAATAACAATAAAAAGACGACTTAAGAAAAAGTTTGTACATTCCGTAGTCATTAGCTGCTTTGTTTTGAATAATTTTGCAATGAAAGTACGTTAAATGTTATTATTTTAACGTTGTACCCCAGTTTAAAAAAAAAAGAACAAATTTGGTCCACTAGAACCCGAGATATGTCATTTTTTTCCAAGCACTCTATTTTGAAACCCTGCGCTCGACTTTTTTGGAGAGCGCGGCTTGTGTGCAATCTGCAATCCCCACTCCTTCCATTCTAGTCGGAACGCAAAGTACTCTTCGTTTACAACACTCCTGTTTAAACAATTTTCAATTATTTTTTTTGCTAAAC